CTAATAACAATATTAATTAAAACACTTGGCTAATAACAATATTAATTAAAACACTTGGCTAATAACAATATTAATTAAAACACTTGGCTGGCAATAATGTCAGCTAAAACACTTGACTGACAAAAATATTAATTAAAACACTTGGCTGGCAACAATGTCAGTTAGAACACTTGACTGATAACAATATTCATTAAATCACTTGGCTAATAATAATATTAATTAAAGCACTTGACTGGCAACAATGTTAGTTAGAACACTTGACTGATAACAATATTAATTAAATCACTTGGCCAATAACAATATTAATTAAAGCACTTGACTGGCAACAATGTTCGGTAGAACACTTGACTGATAACAATATTAATTAAAGCACTTGGCTAATAACAATATTAATTAAAACACTTGGCTGGCAACAATGTCAGTTAGAACACTTGACTGATAACAATATTAATTAAATCACTTGGCTAATAACAATATTGATTAAAGCACTTGACTGGCAACAATGTCACTTATAATGGTATATGTATGTATATATTTTTCTCATAAGAAATCTGTGGGTCATCTAGCATTAGATCACCTGAGTAACGGGTCTAAGCTTGGTTTATTAGGCTGCCAACAGTGTCAACACGTGGCTCGTTTGTTGCCAGTTTTAGCTGAAAGTATTGGAAACTAATCTAGAAGATGCACACACACACAAATAAGAAGGCCTAGCGACACTACCTTGGAGAAAAAAAGAAACCGTGTAAACGTAGCGGTAAACGTGAACGCCCTGAGGTGAAGTCGTGCGTCTTAGTCGCTCGCGTATGGTGTGAACTGAATGTGAAAGAACGGAAATTAAATTAAGGGTTTTAGGACAGCGTCTAGAAAGTTTACTTTTGTTAGAAAATTCAATTGTTTCGATTCTCTAAACGGAAAACCAATAAGGGGAGTTGAGTAACGGTCTTTAGTAACTCCCATCATAATTAAATGTACATTCTCATCTTCGAATAGATTGGCCACAAAGGTCAGGTTCTCTTGTTTGGACCGGTTTTTCTTTTCTACCCAGGACTTGTGCTTGAATTTTCTTTTCACTCAAAAACCTAATAATGTTGTTGATAGAAAAGATTAAGAAGACAAAATTGTACGTGGGAAGTGTTTTCGTTAAAATTTTCAGTTTTTTTTTTTTTTTAGATATTTTAAGTAGGGATGTTTTTCTTAAAGAAAAATGAACTTTGATGATTAACAAGAAGCAAACCATTTGATGTCTTTAAATCAAGCGTTTTTTGTTTGTTTGTTCACCAGCATTTTGTTGTTGTTGTCGTTGTTCAATCGGAAGAAAATGGGACATGAACACTTGACTGAATGTTCAAGTCCTCATCAACAACACACAACCCACAGGTTTTTACACTAATGTATTTCCCATGGAAGTTATAGTATATAACAGAAACAAATTAGCTATACCAGTTATTATGTCAATTAACTGCGATAATCTGTAATAATAAAAGAGTCTGTGTGTGTGACCACCTGAAACCTTGAATTCTGAGGGCGTGCACTTCAATATTATTTTCTTATATTTGTCCCAAAACGATTGTTGCCCTTAAGCCACATAATTCAGCTTCCTCAAGGTCTAAAGAAAAGTATCATATCTAATTATCATTTACTGAATGGATAATATGTGGATATTTTCTGACAAATACTTAAACATGGGAAGAAAAATACAAATCAGAAAATTTGTTTTAAAAAGTTGAATTAAACTACGTTTGGGAAAAGGCAACTTTCAAGTCTTCCTCATCAACAACACACAATACTGGACGTTCAAGTCCTTCTCATCAACACAATACTGGACGTTCAAGTCCTCCTCATCAACAACACACAATACTGGACGTTCAAGTCCTTCTCATCAACAACACACAATACTGGACGTTCAAGTCCTCCTCATCAACAACACACAATACTGGACGTTCAAGTCCTTCTCATCAACACAATACTGGATGTTCAAGTCCTCCTCATCTACACAATACTGGACGTTCAAGCCTTCATCAACAACACACAATACTGGACGTTCAAGTCCATCTCATCAACACAATACCGGACGTTCAAGTCCTCATCAACAACACACAATACCGGACGTTCAGGTCCTCATCAACAACAAACAATACTGAAGGTTCAAGTCCTCATCAACACAAGAATGAATGTTCAAGTCCCCCTCATCAACAACACACAAGAATGAAGGTTCAAGTCCCCCTCATCAACAACACACAAGAATGAATGTTCAAGTCCTCATCAACACAAGAATGAAGGTTCAAGTCCTCATCAACACAAGAATGAAGGTTCCAGTCCTCCTCATAACACAAGTATGAAGGTTCAAGTCCTCATCAACACAAGAATGAAGGTTCAAGTCCTCCTCATCAACACAAGAATGAATGTTCAAGTCCTCATTAACACAAGAATGAATGTTCAAGTCCTCATCAACACAAGAATGAAGGTTCAAGTCCTTCATCAACACAAGTATGAAGGTTCAAGCCCTCATT